GTAGGTAGTAATTTTTGTTCACTGTAAGAGTAAACGTGTTGTCAGTGAATGGTTACAGAGATACTTGATTTGACTGGGATTTAATTATATGAATAGAGGACAATTCAGGTGGCAGGGAAAGCTGAAGGTGAAGAGTTAGGCCTTGAGTTAATGTGGATTGGTGAGATTCGTGATCTTTCACTTTTCTATGAAGAGAAAGACATGTAGGTGAATAATTGTTCAAAAATTACAGCATTCATAAAAAGTGTAATTTTTTAAATTTATTAGCTGCTGATGTTTGGTGTTCTTGCCAAGGAATCGTTCTGTATGGGTGTAGCGTGGTTTGGTTGTATTTGGAGAGTCTGTCCTAACTGGATAATTGGATAATTTGACTCTTGTGGGCTTCTTCTCTTTCCCCTTCTTTTTACCTCCTGAGGATCTGCTGTCAGGGATAGGCTTTCATGTGCCTGTACTTCAAATAATGTCAGTACAGAACAGATAGTTCTAACTTCCCCATATTATGCCGCTTCGTAGCTTGACTCATCAGTTCTCTTCTATGCCATCTATTATTCTAGGAGATGAATGTTTAATATTTGTACAAGTGATCGTAGAACACTGATTAAGGCCACATGCCTTAATAGTGTTGAAACAGCCTTGGTTTATAGCTCTTGTGAACTTGCACAGTGATCTAAGACTTCTTTAGGATAAAGGACAATTAGAGTATCTCTCAAAAATGCTGCCAAAATGCCTAGAGATAAATTTATGTAAAAGTAAGTGATGAAAGATATAATTGTAAAGTGAGCAGCTTTGAATTTAGAAAACATCCGCATTCTTTTTAAAAAAACAAAACCCAAAAAACCTCAAATCACCCCAAATCCCCCTAGCCTAGCTCAATGCCATTTACATGGTGACCACATGCTCATACATGTTCAAGTGAAATTCTTGGTAGTGTTCTGTTTGAACATGGTGAATTTCTTCCATCTAACTCTACTGAGGGATGTTTTTAAGTCCAGAGTTTAGAGTAAAAGTACTCTAAAACTTATGTATATCTTTTGTTTTTCTGCTTCATAAATGTATCCAAATCAGGACTGCAGGGTGATTAATGAAGTAGCCTATGCAGTAGAGTACATAATAATCTCATGGTTGATGACGATTCACATTATCTGTGGTGATTCACAATTTAAGTGGTATCCTTTCTAAAGAGTAAGTATGTAGTGCTCAGAACGATGTGTGATCGTGTCATGTCAGGAGGACTCAAACTTGTGATCTGCCTCATGCTCGCTCTTGTCATCCCATCACAGTGGCAGCTGTCCTGCAGTGCACCTAGAAACCCAAGAGTCTACTACTGGGGCACTACACCAGAGAATATCTACACAGAATACATGTATCTTTTTTTCTACCTTTTTTCTTTCTCTTTTTTTTCCCCCCTTCTTTTTTTTGGGAAACACTCAATTCCCGTGTGTATGTGCCGGTAGAAACTGAAGCAAGCTGAAGCGTGCTATGCAGATGTCCCTCTTGGGAACTAGCTGTTATGTGGAAATTGTATTCTGAAAAATACTTTTAGGCAGTCAAACTCTTGGTTTTTATGGATAGTTTCAGTTCATTAAATGATGAGCCAATGGCCACAAAGATTTCTGTGTTGCCTTGCTATCGCTTTAGAGGGATAACATTTAATTTATGTGTAATAGAAAGTTGTAGGAAGCTGTTCTTAATATGAGTTAGTAGGTTCCCATTTAATAAGAAGCTGTACAAAACCATCTGTACCGGTATTCGACATACTAACATTAGACAGATTGTGTCATACAGCTTGCTCCTGCATCATCTGAATCCCCTATCACCTTGCCTCCCCATCACCACCCCTCCCCCATGACCTGGGCCACTTGCCCCCCACCCCCCCAGCCTCTTTTAGAAGTATTGCTTTACTGTCTCATGAGTAAGTATCTCTTCTTTTTATATTCTTTTCTGAAGAGAGGTGCTTTGAGTTTGATGGATGTTATCCTTTCAGGTAAATGAAGAAAGGTGGCACTGTACTGGGTTGGTTTTTTTGGGCTGCAATGTTGGAAAAGATTATGTTCATTTTGTATAATTTCTTCATGTAAGGAAGAGTTGAGTTTGGATTATGGATGCAACTCTTAACACCACCCCTCACCCCCTGAAACAGGATTTTAAAGTACCAATAGAAACCTCACGGTGGGTTTCACCCCCAATTGAGAGGGCCTTGGTGTGTGGGGGTGTCAGTACGGCCTCTTTGCAAGCTCAGTTTCCTTGTGCCCCTATCTGGCGAGGTCTGATGGCGCTGGGCTTGAGCTCATGTGCCGGGTCCTGCTGAGAGCACAGTCCTGCCCACTGCACCCACTTCAAATAAAAACATGCTCGTGTCCTGCCGCCTCAGAATGGCAGATTCGGCACAGCTCTGCCTGCTAGGGACTCTGCAGACCCTGCAAGAAGGCAACTTACTGCCACTTCATGATATGCTGGGGTCATTTTCTCATTTTTAGAGCAAAATTTGGAGGATGGGAGAGAAGAGCTTGTGGCTGTAGTAATCTCTGCAGCTTGCTGGTGTGTTAATGCTAGCGTTGCTGTAAGATGTGATAGCTGTCACTGTAACAAGTGACATGAAAATTACTCTTCTAATCCATTGTAAATGTTTCTGCATCCCACCCCATGGTTTACAGGTTTTGGAATTAGTCCAATTCAGTTGATTTTGAGGGAATTTTTAATGGAAGCCTGTACTGCTTACCAGGAAATCATGAACTATATATTGCTTGTGAAAAGATCAGAAGTTTTGCAAAGACCTGTGAGCTCAGACAAAATTTTTCTTTCCTGTCTGGAGAACAGATGAATGATTTTTTTTGGACCTGTCTTTCCAACAAAGGTGCTTTTATAGCCAGAGATAAGCTCAAATAAGTGGAACTTGAAGGGGTATGAAAGTGAAAATTCAGAAGGAAAGATTGATGGACAAAGTGTATGTTTCATGATAGTGACTTTTGTTTTTTTTTAAAAAAAAAGCCCTCATACACTTTGTATTCTTTTGCAGCATCAAGCATATGATTGAAATACTGCTGCAGCACAAATAGTTTTTGCTCTGAGTTCTCACAGTGTTGTCACTGAACATGTTCAAGGATGTGATAATTCTGAATATATTTGTGTACAGTTTGTTTTAGAATACTTCTGTAGTTAAGCCTGTTGATACAATTGTAGTTTGAAGTTGCTGTGTTTTCTATCTATTGCAAAGCTTTTCCCTGGTATTTATTCTTAGGTAGTAGCAGCCGTTTATCCACAAAGTATTTTGATATAGGACTTAAAAGACAAAACCTTTTATCTGTTTGAAAAAAAAAATTGTTTATTATTTAGAATGTTGTATTTTTCAACTTGTCTCTACATGCACATGTTCTTGTTTTTTGTTTTTTTTTTTTTTTGTAAATTTTGGAAAGAATACTTACTGAGTTTGGAAACTTGAAAAAAAAATCTCTGAAGCAGTTTATTGAAATCTCTTTCAGCTTTATTCGTTTTTAAAAAAAATAGAAAATCAAAGGTGTGATTCCCAGTGCTGCCCCACTGCCTTTACTCTATCTGAAAGGAATAGACAGCCTCCCTTCTTCCCCCCACCCTATACCCCAACAAACCAACTTTGTGGCTTTTGAAACTGAAGTCCTTCTAATACAGATTTATGCTAAGGAAGACTGCATTAAAGTGTGGGAGAGCCACAAGAGCACAAACTGGCATAGCTAGCTCAGTATTCATCCGAGTAGCTGAAAAACTGTATGAATCTGTGCTCTGCATTAGGAAAAGAATAGGTTTGGTTTAGGATGCTCAGTTGAGAAGGGATCACTAAGAGTTAGGGTATCAGATATTTTTGTTTAACTGTTCTTCCTATATGAAACATTTAGTTTATGGTCACTTACATATAGCAACAGAGAGGCCTTCAGTAGCTTGGAAATGAAAAGATTCACACACATATTAGGGTGAACATCTATTTACAGAGTGGAAACAAACTACTTTTAAACTCTCTTGTCAGCACTATCTGAGAATACTTTTATTAGTCTATGGTTAGAGAATTTTCTGGACTGAGACAGGTAGGGAGAGGAACTGAATGTGGTTGTCTGATTTCTGAACTACTAGGTGATAAAAATAGCATCTTCACACTTGCACAGTATGTTTCTTTGGCTGGTGGTATTTGCCCCAAGTTACTTGTTTTGTTTTATCCAAGTTGTTCGTTGGTTGGGGTGGCACCAATCCAGCTTTATTACTAGAGTTCTTGTCATCCAAGAAGTAGGAACAGAAGAAGAACGAGGAAGGCAGTGTCATGTCATGAAGGTTAAGTAATGGCTAATGCCTTAAAGAGCCATTTTCCTACCTGTTATGTGACGGGACAAAGAGATTAAGCATGTGAGTGATGAAGAGGAAGAGTGAAATGAAGGTCTGAATTTGATCTGCTGGAGTGGAGGTTGCATTTTTCTAAGGTTGGCTTAAGCAAAGAAAAAGCTTAGCTTCTCCTATCGTACCTGAAACAGAGACACATCTTATTCTGGAAGGAAACATGGAATTAATTGCAGCTAGCAGCATGGCTTTTTTATCCCTTTAACAGGGGGGAAAAAAAACCCAACAAAAACCAAATGAGGATTTTTTAGTGAGCCCTGGCTTATTTTGCTGAACAAGAGTATACGGCTTATGTAAAAAAAACCAAAACAAAACCCAACCCAGCTTTCAAATGAGTATTCAGTGAAAGGTCAATAATAAAGCTGTAAACACACTTGGCAGATGTTTGACTTCTGGGTTGTTCTGTTCTGGGACCCGAGGTGCAAATGCGCTTTCATTCTGTAGTGCTAATGAAGTCTTGGATCAGAGCAAAACTAAAACCTTGGAGCTGTTCTTAGCTGGTGTTGATGCAGGAAATGTTAAGTCTCGAACCCTGTTTCAGTTCCTTTTTTGGTATTCTCTGAGCTGGAATTGAAGGCATGCCGTCTTGCCCGTTCCGCTCTCGTGCGACCCTGCGGTAGCTGTAATCAGTGGCCTGGGAGATGAGAGGAGACTGGCGAGGTCGCGATTGGCTGCGGGGCCGGGGAGCAGCTTCCCGGAGTACATGTGTGTCGAGCGGAGCCAGCTCACGCAGTCATGTACGCGCAGCCGCCGATCTCTTGGGAGGTTCGTTACAGGGTCTCGCACAAGGGCATTCTCCGCTCCTGCACACCAGCATGGAAGAAGCTCGTCCAGGGAAGAAAATGCAACCTGTATGTAAATAGCAGCTGTATAACTTAATAACGCTTCGATGCAAATGGTATTTAGCGACTTTCTGTTGGAATGATGTGCTACCTTAGACTCACTAGTTGTGGAAGAAATTTTTGAAAGATCTGGTGATAGAAATAATACATGAAGGAGAGATTTCTTGTATTAGGGAAGATACATTCTGTGTAGTTAGAATTGCTTAATCATAATAACTGGCTTAATGCAGAAAGAAAATGTGCTTTTACAATCACGAGAGTATACTACTAGATTTTGAGATGGTTGAGTGTTGTGTTTTGTTTTGGTTGGTTTTTTAATTATTTTGAGTCAGCTTTTCTTAATTTGAAGGTTATCAGCTGTGGCTTTGAGGAATACTGTGCAAGCATATACAAGTATAGCAGGGAAGTATCTGGCAAAGAATCTTGAAATAGCCTATGGATTGTTCCTTTTGTCTAAAAAAAAAAGTGCACTTAATGAGCTGTGTAACTGAGGTAAAATGTTTATGGAGACAGTGTTTTCTTCAGACTTCAGTGGCACAGCTACAAAACTCCGTTTGTGGGGATTTCTACAATGAAGCAGTGAACTCTAGTATTAGTGTAACAAGCTATTGCTCAGTTCTTGTACGGCCAGTCTTTATCACTGCCATTTAACTGCAATGCAGTGTGTAATGGGGGTTACTACTTTAGAGTTCCCTGCAAACAAAAAAGTACAGGATGGAATTTTCCTAAGCTCTAAAGCTTTGAAGAGCCCTGAATTGTTCTATATACATATTGTAAGATGGCCACTGTATTTGCAGTTTCCTTTTGTGAGCAAAAGAAGTTAGAGTTTCATTTAGACTTGTTAAAATGCATCTGATTGCTGTGGTGTTGTTTGTTAGGGTGACTGTAGTACAGTGATTGATTTTTGGTTTTCATTGTGGTGCTACCTGCGGCTGTGGACACAGAAGTCGTCAGGCATGCGTATGCTTGGAAGACTAGGCAAAGATCTGAGGTGACTAGTTATAAAGATTCTACTACTTTGCATACTATAGTCACAGGACTGTTAAATTTTGAGTGAAGCAGTGCAGTGTATAATCTTCACTCATTACAGTGTTACACCTTAAAATATAGAGAAACTTCAGTTTGGCTAATCAGAAACTGTTGCTGTGTGGGGTTTTTTTTGTTTTGTTCCCTGTCCCCCCCCGCCCCGTAATTTTAGAAATTGAAGTGAATGGAACTATGAATTTTTTGAATGAAATTCAGCGCTGTGGGGCAGTGATAAAATGCGACGTTGTAAAATGACTAATGTTAGATATGCCAATCGGTATCTTGTGTTGAATTGATGACATTATTTGCTAACTATGCATGGTGGTAAATTTTCTGTCTTGCAGGACAATCGGGTTGAATTCAAACAGGCTTCTAATTTTAATCAAATATTCTCTTACACTTTAGTTATACTCTAATATTAATAAAGCTTTCCCTTTTTCTTGTGTTCCTTCTAACCTAATTTTTTTTTTTTTTTTGGACAAATTACTGTAGTGTGCTATAGTTGACGGCCAGTTACTACTGTGAGCAGTCTCTTGTCAGTGTTCATACTTCCTTTTCTTTCTGACTTTTTCCTGCAATTTAATTGTTCTGATTAACACACGCACTTTCGTGTTTACTGTCCAAAAACTAGTGCCTGATTTGATCAGGCGCTCAGCCTGACAGTGGCCAGAGTAATACCTGCTAGAACCACTGAAATAAAATTATAAACATTAAATGTTCAACTGTGCAGGAGGAAAAACATGTTTAGAATTGCTTTTTTCCAAAAGTGTGGTGTGTTGGGTTTTTTTTTTGTTGTTCTTGTGTGGTGTTTTGTTTTTTTTTTAAGTAGCACACATACATGTCTGTCTTTTACTGTCCTCCACGTACAGTTTTGGAAAGTCTCACTGAAGGCTGTTGATGCCTGTTGGACATACTTGTCCAAACCGAAGGTTTGTATAGCTCCTGTGGTTTTTTTGTAAGTCTTCTAGAAGCAGATTGGTCAGACATATTTAGTAGGGTAAGCTGAGCAGTTAATTAGAGGATTAGTAGGCTAGAAAAACTTCTGTAAGTATTCCTGACCTCTTTTGTTATAGCTCTGGTCTTACTGAAATCTAAGTGTCAAACCTTCCTCTGAGGCTCTGAGTATTGCTGTGATTAGGAGGGATCTTTGTTTACATGTGAGGGTGATTGTATAAAAAGTAATTGTATACCCACAGATAAAATTCACAAGGCGGGGGGGCATGGGGGTGACACCAAAACCCGTGAGCTGTACTGGAGTCTTTCCTGTAATGCTCGAGCAATACCCACTGCTCTGCTATCATAGTAGGAAAAAAAAAAAATATCTGGAAAGCAGCTGTTCCTGTGCAAATGAGACCATAGCAAATACAACCAAGGGGGAACCCATCAATATGTTATGCTTCTTATTTTAAACCTGGCAAGTGTTCTGTTTGTGAATTATTATTAATTTAACTCTCATCTGTATATATTTAGAGGGCAAGGCCAGCTAAAAATTGCATGCTGGCAAAATGAGACAGGGCCCATTTATATTTGGTGCATTTTCCCTTGGCTGTTAGGTTGATGTGCTTGATTTAGAACTGGTAGTGTTTCATCACTTTGGCAACTTCTGAAGATACAGTATTGCTATGTAGACCAATACTGTGCCCAAAGAACTTACTTCAAATGCATTTATAGAACTGCTTTGCAGTTCAGCTGAAGACTGTTTAATAGGCTGAATAGTACCTTCACTTAGTACTATTTAGAAAGAACTTTGATTTTTTTTTTTTTTTTTTTCATATCCTGGCTGTTCTTCAAGGAGGCAGCAACTGGAGATGCTCGCCCTCCTGCCCACTGCTCATCTTACCTTTGGTTTAAAAGCAGAGTCAGTCTGACAGGGAAGTAAAACAATACATTGAGAACTTACCAAGTGCTGCTGTTAGTTGTTCCTGCAGGTGAACCATGTAAAGAAGCTCTTCCTAATTTACTCAGTCTTAACTAAGGCTACTTGATGCTCTGTATGGGTAGCAGTGGGAGAGGTATAATGTAGACCTAGTGCTGATGATTGCCAAAGGTAGAATGATTGTCACTGAACTCTGTATACAGTAATCACAGATGGCATTAACAAATACACTAATTTTCTGGTTTCTTTTATCACTTCCAGGGTTGCTGTCACTGGTAGACTTGTAGTCCTATAAAATTAGGTGATAACACTGGTCTTGTTTGATCCCGCCCCCCAAAGTATTGGTGCTTATGAGCTTGCAGCTCTGGGAGATTGAATGGATAGAGAAGAGGCTGTATGTGCAGCCTGTAAATCAGAGATGTATTTTATTTCCTGCCTATATGGAGTATTATGTGTACTCAGAACAGAAACGCAAGCTTCTGAAACAAACAGCTTAGGAAATGCTGCTGTGAAAATGAATCATAAATTACCTTACTGGTTCTTAAGTATTCTGAACAATGTATTTCAGTAGCTGTGTGACAAAACAAATGAGTTTGTGTGTGTGTACCTATCTAGAAAAAAAGGTCAGTTTTAAAATATTGTGTATATGTATATACATAATATAGACACATACCTGGAAAACAGTTGCAAAATCAGTTTTTGTAGTTCCTCTTCAGTTATCTTTGAGATGTACAGTCAAAATGAAGGTTTTAATTTCTTTTTTCCAGCTAAACTTCTATCTTTCAAGCAGAGCATTATTGGTAATTTTTCTTTCTTTAATTTAATTTTTTTTGTTATTGGAGCCTTGATGGCTATCACATCTGTCTTATGAATACAGATCCACCAAAGCAAGGGCTGATGATAGAACAAAAATACTGCTTTGACTATTCTTCTTAGGTCTATGTCAAGCCACCATTTTGAATTCTGTTTGCACTGATTTGTAAGTTTATTGGGAAGTTGCTGTAGGCCTCTACTGTTGTATCCTCTTGAAGACAGCATGCTGGGTTGGATGGATGATTTGATCCAGCTTAACTGCTCCTCTGTACTGATGATGGGAGATTGAAGAGCAAAGTGGTGTGTAAAAATTCTCATGTGCTGTTGATTTTAGTATGTAAATCCACAGTAGCATGCTATATAGGTTTACCAGTCGGGTCTGTAAGCAGTGTGTGCTCATGTTTTGAGAGGAATGGCTTATTGGTGCTACATTCCAGCCGAAGGGCTAAATCCCGTCTGCCAGTTATGGTGTCTCTACAAAGGTAGAGGTGTATCTATAGGTTCTTGTGGGAAGGAGGGGGAAATATTTGCCTTCTGTTCAAGCTGGAGAGGATGGGATATAATTACAGTCACAGAGCAGTATGTATGTTCACTGTGACAGTATAGGCAGTTGTAGTAGAATAGTATCAAAATTAGAAGTTTGAAACTTGGCCAAGGACAGGTGTACAAGGGAAAAACCTAGGTATGAACACTCCTTGGTGGTTTTTTTGTTGTTAGTTGTTGCTTTTGTTGTTGATTGTTGCTTTTTGTTCTAGCATTTGCATCTACTTGAATAAATGCTGCAGTGAAGGTTCTTCATAGCATGAAAGTGGTAATGTAACTTTTTTGGGGGTGGTGGTGGTGTGTTTTTGTTTCTGTCCTCTCCTGTGCCCTACTTATTCCCGTGAACAGTAGTGCTATCTCCTCTGGTGCTGCAGGTAAAGAACTTTGGGCTGAAGGGTTGTAAATGCAGCATGTGAACATTGTCTTAGCTAAGTAATGGTTTTAAATGTTGAGCTCAAATTGTTCTCAACACAATTGCTGTATTACATTTCAAAGCTTTACAGTTAGCTGTATCAGCCATTTGTATGATCACTATCACCAGAATAAATTCATTGAACTACCTTTCAAGCACCTTAAAAATGTGTTGCCAGCAAGCTGTATCTCTTGGAAGTGTTTATTCAGTAAGGCACTTTGGCGGCATGCCCATCTGAAGTCTGCCATGCGTATGTGACTGCAGAAGGTTAGGCGAGTTGCATGGTGAGAAGAGCTTGTACAGATGACAGTGGAAAGTTTCCTTTAAATTTAATATTCTGTGCGTCATATTTGTGCCAGTCCACTAGACGGTAACTAACACATGCTGCTGGAGGTTGACAATTTAATTCTTACAAACTTGAATGCTTTCCTTAATGATTCATGCAGTTTAGGTTTAGCTTTTTTAAATACTGCTTTTAAAAAACATGTAGAGTTAATATTCTAGATCTGAAAAGTGTACTGTACTAAATGAAGATAAATGTTTGAGAAGGTAAATAAGTAAAGTGTAAACTATTTCTGGATACTTGTTTGTCTGCATTGAAAGGAGATTACTCTTTTCCTCCTGGACTGAGAAAAGAAATTTGAAAATCAGAGGTAGCAAGAGGAATCCTACTGGGATTCTGCTAGAGCAAAGAGTATTTGAAAGTCTTGTCTGGTCTGCAACAGTTGAAAAGCGTTTTCATTTTCTTGCTGGGGAAAGCTGGAAGGCTAAGAAGACATGTTGTAGTATATGTAGGCACCTCTGGCTGAATACAGAGGTTTTACTGGAAGGTTGTTTCTACAGTATGTTTGTGAGTATCCACAAATTTGGTGTTAGGAAGAAGTATACTTAGTGTATTTTAGTGCAATGTTCTAGGATTTGTTGTGTCATGGGCCTGGCCCAGGCGCCCCCCCCCCCCCACAGCTT